CACTCCTGGCTCTCACCTTCAAGTGAATTAGGGCTTTATTACTCCCATAAACTTTCAAATCACACTGGGTCGCCCTGAGGTTCCTTCCAAGAAGATACAGTTTCAGAACTAGTTCTAGAGACTTGAAAACCTCTCTCTATGGGGATAAAAAGAGTATTTCCATAATAGGCCAACCCTTCTTCAGATATATCGATATCTTAAGGATGTCAGTTCATTGTGAGAATCTGGGAGCTGCCATGGCTCCAAAGGTCCCACATATTTTCAAAGGGACCTTGCCTGTAATTTTAACCCACTAAAAACAAAAGTGCATGGCTGGAAAAGGGTTTTAAGTATTTAAAAATCTCACTGTATTTCAAACACAGCTATATTACTTGCATCTGTGATTTGGTAGTGCACAAAGGCAAAAGACTACAGGTTTTACTTCTACAATTTTTTCCTGCACATCACATGAAAGAGAACAATGGAAACGTGGCTGAATGTGAGAATGCAATGGCGTTTTGGGTGGGGGGGAGAGAGAAACACACATACTACAAAAATCTAATAATTCTCCACCCAAGCATTGCTAGTGAATGACCTCACTGGTTTCCTACATATACTCCCGCAGCCTTCCTGCCATCACTCTGTTGAGCCAAATAGTGATGTCAACAGTCCACCTGTAAGAGCGATGTAGCCCTCTGGGTCATGGTTGTAGAGAATTTGGATAAAAACTGTGCCAGTGTTAATTAAATGCACCTCTTGTTTCACTACTGATTTCCTGCGATAAGGCTCTGCTCATTTTTCCTGGAAAGACTTCCATGCTGTAAGGGAACCAGAGCCAACCACAACACAAAACAACGCTTGCTAAGAGAATGTGAAGACAACATGCTAAACATTTAGTTAAAAACAAGATTGCCTATCAGTGCTGGGGTAAATACAAATCTCATTAATTTACATATGCTAATGACACGGTTAAACTATAAATACTAGTTACTGCAGATAGTTATCTTGCAGCAGTACTTATATATTTCATTTGTAATGCTCTTCCCAATTAAATTGAGGCAGAATTCTAACAACCTGTTTTAAGTTCAGCCAGGTTAAGGTGAGAGGAGCTCTTCCATTAATACAATTAGCCAGCAAATAATGAAAGGAAAAAAATATATACTGCTACTTCTTTTCTTTATAAAGAAATCTAATCCACTGTCATGACTGGATGCTATGAGTAGCATGCTGTCACCAGGATGCTACTCATAGCATCTGACTTCCAGACACTTTAAGCCTTCAAGACATGCCCTTTTACACTTGCTTTGCTCTTGTAGACATTTTCAGATAGCTTTATTAGTAAGAGAACTGTTGAAGGAAGACTCTCAGTTTTGGAACTTCACATCAAAAATATGCCTTCTGGCACAACTTAAAACCTAGCACTAGCCCTAAGATTTAATTGCTGACAACAACGCACACAAAAAATCCAGAGGTATCAAGATAGAAAATTAATCTCAAGTGTAGTGGTACAACTCTATTATGAGAGTTTGTTTCCTGATGATCACAACTCTTAATTATGCAAGGCGACAAGTTGGACCTCTTGACATAAATTTAATTCCAGAGAAAGGTATGGTAAGAATGTTAGGAACACATTCATATGCATTCATTCATTCTTTCATTTTGATTTGCAGCAATTGTGATCGTTCCAAGGAATGTTCTGTCCCATATTCCTGAGCATTAACAATATTTTCCAAACAACCAATGGTCGATATCTGGTTATTCAGATTTTTGGCTCTTGGGGATCTTATGTTTATACAGCACCTTGCCCTACAAACTCTCTCGGAATACGTAACACTAAGACTATACTGCTTAGCCAGTTACTGATATAGGAAAGTTCCATGGCCATCCTACTTCTCAACAAAGTCAGGGTAAGTAACTTGGACATATTTTTTACAATCTCCCCCAGTAAGAAATTCCATATATAAAATGTCTTTCATCAGAACCATATTTTTTGATTCTAGGTGGAAACAAAAAATTAGAGGTAATCTTTGAACTTGTTTGGTTTATACTGGTCCTGTGGACAGTTCCTATGGATTTATGAGGCTGAACTGTAGTTAGTTTGTGTTGAAGCACGAAGAGTATGACTCATTCAAAAAGCTCAACACAAGAACATTTCACTGACATCCTGCAGAATAGCTCCCTCATGGATTTGAAGTAGTTGCTGCCCATTCTTTACATCCACTCCCTCTCACTACTTTATAACACAACTTCCAGTGCAAACTTGAATCCAGGCCATAAAGCAGATACTAGAACTTCTGACAAATTTTGTTCTGTCACCAGTAATCGGAATTTGGTCTCACACAATTTAAACACACAGCTGCGCTTCACTTCTGGTGGGTGCACATACTGTGGCCATACAGAAGGATATTCCGAAGTCCAGTGAGTTTAAATGACACAGTTTCCTGAACTCCAGGAACTCTCCTGGACAGAAAGTACTTCCTTCCTTATTTCAAACACTTGATTGTTTCAGAGGGAATTCAAAACAATAGATTAGAAACTTTAAACCTTTCCTAAGTGTACTGCTACACAAGGAAATCAGGCTGTACTCTGGGAAGATGAGATAACATTGAGAGAGTACTTTTTCTGGAAATGTAATGGCTTTTGCATCCCTTCTCTAGCACCATCCCACGAATCAGCTACACAGAAGTAATAATTCATGATATAAGATGTCAGATGCAGTTCAGCTACTGTTTGGAGTAAGATGCAGGTGGTTGGTAAACTAGCTTCTCAGCTAATTAGATAAGGCATGTCAGGAAAGAAAATACCAGAAGCTTCCTAATCTGAGCCTGTACTTTTAAGAACAGGTAGAAAGAAAGGATGACAATTGCCTCTATTTAGTACCTCATTGTTTAAATCTCTAAAAAGGAGAAAGAACATACTACACTTCTGCAGTTAGAAATCTATCCCCTTCCCACTGTAACTCAGTTCTATAGAACCAGCAGAGATGTTCACGAGGACTGGGAAAAGATCAAGTTCATCAGCTGAAAAGCAGTCATTT